CCCGCAGCTCTTGGCTTTCTCTTCCTCATGTGTGGGCGCCATCTTTACGCCTGGCATCAGTCACAGTTCTGCTGGAGCATGAAATGAAAGGAGACGTCCCCCCGGGGGGGCCCTTTTTAGAGGGGCGTCCCTGCTGGCCAATGGGTGCTGTGGACAGTGGTGATGATGTCACAGGGTGTCCACAGAGGTATCTCCTGAAAATGCAAAGATTTGATTGGCTTGCTTGTTGATGAGGGGGGAGGAGCTATATGTGCGCATTTAACCTTCAGCTGTGACCCCTCTGCTTGTAGCTGTGGAAGGGCCGTTGGCAGGGCAACGACATCGTCATCAAAGTCCTGAAAATACGCGATTGGACCACAAGGAAGAGCCGCGACTTCAATGAGGAGTACCCCAAACTGAGGTGACGCCCCAACATCCGGAGGGGTGCCGGGGCCCCATTGTGTGCCATAGAGCTACCTGTGTGTGTCAGTCTGTCCCAGACCCAGCTCATCCCTACTGGTATCAGACGGGTCCCAGACCCAGCTCATCCCTACTGGTATCAGACTGGTCCTAGACCCAGCTCATCCCTACTGGTATCAGACGGGTCCTAGACCCAGCTCATCCCTACTGGTATCAGACGGGTCCTAGACCCAGCTCATCCCTACTGGTATCAGACGGGTCCTAGACCCAGCTCATCCCTACTGGTATCAGACGGGTCCTAGACCCAGCTCATCCCTACTGGTATCAGACGGGTCCTAGACCCAGCTCATCCCTACTGGTATCAGACGGGTCCTAGACCCAGCTCATCCCTACTGGTATCAGACGGGTCCTAGACCCAGCTCATCCCTACTGGTATCAGACGGGTCCTAGACCCAGCTCATCCCTACTGGTATCAGACGGGTCCTAGACCCAGCTCATCCCTACTGGTATCAGACTGGTCCTAGACCCAGCTCATCCCTACTGGTATCAGACGGGTCCTAGACCCAGCTCATCCCTACTGGTATCAGACGGGTCCTAGACCCAGCTCATCCCTACTGGTATCAGACGGGTCCTAGACCCAGCTCATCCCTACTGGTATCAGACGGGTCCTAGACCCAGCTCATCCCTACTGGTATCAGACGGGTCCTAGACCCAGCTCATCCCTACTGGTATCAGACGGGTCCTAGACCCAGCTCATCCCTACTGGTATCAGACGGGTCCTAGACCCAGCTCATCCCTACTGGTATCAGACGGGTCCTAGACCCAGCTCATCCCTACTGGTATCAGACGGGTCCTAGACCCAGCTCATCCCTACTGGTATCAGACGGGTCCTAGACCCAGCTCATCCCTACTGGTATCAGACGGGTCCTAGACCCAGCTCATCCCTACTGGTATCAGACGGGTCCTAGACCCAGCTCATCCCTACTGGTATCAGACGGGTCCTAGACCCAGCTCATCCCTACTGGTATCAGACGGGTCCTAGACCCATGGGGCGCTGTCATAGTACACACCTCTCCCGGTATAGGGGGCGCTGTCATAGTACACACCTCTCCCGGTATAGGGGGGCTGTCATAGTACACACCTCTCCCGGTATAGGGGGCGCTGTCATAGTACACACCTCTCCCGGTATAGGGGGCGCTGTCATAGTACACACCTCTCCCGGTATAGGGGGCGCTGTCATAGTACACACCTCTCCCGGTATAGGGGGGCTGTCATAGTACACACCTCTCCCGGTATAGCGGGGCTGTCATAGTACACACCTCTCCCGGTATAGGGGGCGCTGTCATAGTACACACCTCTCCCGGTATAGGGGGCGCTGTCATAGTACACACCTCTCCCGGTATAGGGGGCGCTGTCATAGTACACACCTCTCCCGGTATAGGGGGGCTGTCATAGTCCATGTACACAGTCCTAGTTTGCCGTTCCATTCATCTCCGTTCCTCACTGTGCACCCCGTCTTGTCTCGTCCTCCATAGGATATTCTCTCACCCCAATGTCCTTCCAGTCCTGGGTGCGTGTCAGTCTCCACCCGCCCCTCATCCTGTGCTCATCACCCATTGGATGCCCTACGGATCTCTGTACAATGTTCTGCATGAGGGGACCAGTGAGTATTGGGCTGGATGGGTGTAGGGCAATAACCGAGGGGGGGTTCTTGTATATATTGGGGGTGGAGTTATACCAGAAGTCCTGCTGTGATTGGCTGGGACAGATGGCGAGCCGCCATATTGTTTGGGAGGGAATGGAAGCCTGCATAGGTGTAGGGGGCGGGGTCTTCTCTGTGTTCCGGCATCGTCGTTCCTCATGCCTCTGTCTTGCCCGTACAGACTTGGTGGTTGACCAGTGCCAGGCAGTGAAGTTTGCGTTGGACATTGCCCGCGGCATGGCGTTCCTTCACACGTTGGAGCCTCTCATTCCTCGCCATTACTTGAACAGTCGCAGTGTCATGGTGAGTAGCGCAGATCACGTGTGAGCATGTCTGCGGACCAATCCCGTCCTTTCCCATCCCTCAATACTCCGACTCTGCAATGTCTCCATTCTTCCTCCCGATAGATGTACCCGGAACCTTGCTTCCTGCGCCGGTGTCGGTTGTCTCACTCTCATGTTTTATGTTCTCCAGATTGATGAAGATATGACGGCTCGTGTCAGTATGGCGGACGTCAAGCTTTCCTTCCAGTGTCCGGGACGCATGTACGCACCAGCCTGGATCGCACCGGAAGGTACAGCGCAACGGTTGTTACAGCCGGTCTCCGGAGATCAGCTTTATTACCCCCCTCCCCCCACCGACCCCCGAGTTGTAGAAGACCTCGGTCCTAGCTGTGGGGTCTCCCTCGTCTACTTTCCCTCTATTACTTTCCAACATCGGTGACCTCATCACATGTCCCATCTAAGGCCGACCTCGGCAACCTCATCACATGTCCCATCTAAGGCTGACCTCGGCGACCTCATCACATGTCCCATCTAATGCTGACCTCATCACATTCACATGTCCCATCTAAGGCTGACCTCGGCAACCTCATCACATGTCCCATCTAAGGCTGACCTCGGCGACCTCATCACATGTCCCATCTAATGCTGACCTCATCACATTCACATGTCCCATCTAAGGCTGACCTCGGCGACCTCATCACATGTCCCATCTAATGCTGACCTCATCACATTCACATGTCCCATCTAAGGCTGACCTCGGCGACCTCATCACATGTCCCATCTAATGCTGACCTCATCACATTCACATGTCCCATCTAAGGCTGACCTCGGCGACCTCATCACATGTCCCATCTAATGCTGACCTCATCACATTCACATGTCCCATCTAAGGCTGACCTCGGCGACCTCATCACATGTCCCATCTAATGCTGACCTCATCACATTCACATGTCCCATCTAAGGCTGACCTCGGCGACCTCATCACATGTCCCATCTAATGCTGACCTCATCACATTCACATGTCCCATCTAAGGCTGACCTCGGCGACCTCATCACATGTCCCATCTAATGCTGACCTCATCACATTCACATGTCCCATCTAAGGCTGACCTCGGCGACCTCATCACATGTCCCATCTAATGCTGACCTCATCACATTCACATGTCCCATCTAAGGCTGACCTCGGCGACCTCATCACATGTCCCATCTAATGCTGACCTCATCACATTCACATGTCCCATCTAAGGCTGACCTCGGCGACCTCATCACATGTCCCATCTAATGCTGACCTCATCACATTCACATGTCCCATCTAAGGCTGACCTCGGCGACCTCATCACATGTCCCATCTAATGCTGACCTCATCACATTCACATGTCCCATCTAAGGCTGACCTCGGCGACCTCATCACATGTCCCATCTAATGCTGACCTCATCACATTCACATGTCCCATCTAAGGCTGACCTCGGCGACCTCATCACATGTCCCATCTAATGCTGACCTCATCACATTCACATGTCCCATCTAAGGCTGACCTCGGCGACCTCATCACATGTCCCATCTAATGCTGACCTCATCACATTCACATGTCCCATCTAAGGCTGACCTCGGCGACCTCATCACATGTCCCATCTAATGCTGACCTCATCACATTCACATGTCCCATCTAAGGCTGACCTCGGCGACCTCATCACATGTCCCATCTAATGCTGACCTCATCACATTCACATGTCCCATCTAAGGCTGACCTCGGCGACCTCATCACATGTCCCATCTAATGCTGACCTCATCACATTCACATGTCCCATCTAAGGCTGACCTCGGCGACCTCATCACATGTCCCATCTAATGCTGACCTCATCACATTCACATGTCCCATCTAAGGCTGACCTCGGCGACCTCATCACATGTCCCATCTAATGCTGACCTCATCACATTCACATGTCCCATCTAAGGCTGACCTCGGCGACCTCATCACATGTCCCATCTAATGCTGACCTCATCACATTCACATGTCCCATCTAAGGCTGACCTCGGCGACCTCATCACATGTCCCATCTAATGCTGACCTCATCACATTCACATGTCCCATCTAAGGCTGACCTCGGCGACCTCATCACATGTCCCATCTAATGCTGACCTCATCACATTCACATGTCCCATCTAAGGCTGACCTCGGCGACCTCATCACATGTCCCATCTAATGCTGACCTCATCACATTCACATGTCCCATCTAAGGCTGACCTCGGCGACCTCATCACATGTCCCATCTAATGCTGACCTCATCACATTCACATGTCCCATCTAAGGCTGACCTCGGCGACCTCATCACATGTCCCATCTAATGCTGACCTCATCACATTCACATGTCCCATCTAAGGCTGACCTCGGCGACCTCATCACATGTCCCATCTAATGCTGACCTCATCACATTCACATGTCCCATCTAAGGCTGACCTCGGCGACCTCATCACATGTCCCATCTAATGCTGACCTCATCACATTCACATGTCCCATCTAAGGCTGACCTCGGCGACCTCATCACATGTCCCATCTAATGCTGACCTCATCACATTCACATGTCCCATCTAAGGCTGACCTCGGCGACCTCATCACATGTCCCATCTAATGCTGACCTCATCACATTCACATGTCCCATCTAAGGCTGACCTCGGTGACCTCATCACATGTCCCATCTAAGGCTGACCTCTGTGACATCCGTGTCTACCTGAGCTTGGTGATGTCACCGTTTGGGTGACATGGGGCGTGGGATTAGGAAAGGTGTCATTACTCTTCCGCGTCACATGTGGTTGTAGTTGTGCGCGGGTCCTTGGTGGCCACACAGAGCAGCAGACGTGACTGACTGATTTTTACTTGCAGCTCTGCAGAAACGTACCGAGGACATCAACCGCCGTTCTGCCGACATGTGGAGCTTTGCCGTCCTGCTCTGGGAGCTGGTGACCCGAGAGGTTCAAACCCCAATTCTGCTTCAGGTGTCCCTGGAAGGCCTGCGCCCCACCATCCCCCCCGGCATCTCCCCGCACATCTGTAAGCTGATGAAGATCTGTATGAACGAGGATCCCGCCAAGCGGCCAAAGTTCGACATGATCGTTCCCATCCTGGAGAAAATGCAGGACAAGTAAAGGCGCCGGCGTTCATTGTCCCACCCTGACTGCTACACCTCCCCCTCCCTGCCCAAACGTTCCGAGAGAACCCGTCTCACCGCTACGCCGGCACCGACCAATGAGTGTCCGGCCCCCGACAGCCGCCTCCAATACCAAGTGCCTTCTGAGGAACGGGGGAGGAAGCCATATACTGAGTGTCTGTCCGCAGCTCTGTGCACTGATATCCCAGCAGGGGTCCCAGGCATAGGGACCGGGTGTAGGGACTTTGTGCACTGGTATCCCGCACTTCTATCCCAGCAGGGGTACCAGGTATGGGGACGGGGTGTAGGGACATTGTGCACTGGTATCCCAGCAGGGGTTCCAGCCATAGGGATGGGTTGTAGGGACTTTGTGCACTGTTATCCCACACTTCTATCCCAGCAGGGGTTCCAGGCATAGGGACCGGGTGTAGGGACTTTGTGCACTGGTATCCCGCACTTCTATCCCAGCAGGGGTTCCAGGCATAGGGACCGGGTGTAGGGACTTTGTGCACTGGTATCCCGCACTTCTATCCCAGCAGGGGTTCCAGGCATAGGGACCGGGTGTAGGGACTTTGTGCACTGGTATCCCGCACTTCTATCCCAGCAGGGGTTCCAGGCATAGGGATGGGTTGTAGGGACTTTGGGTACCGCACTCAATGGAGAATATTTCTACTACAACATTTCATTTCAGATCAATGGTCCTCCGGCCTGAGCCGTCCTGATGGCAAATTACACCCGACGCGCTTTACAATCGGACCAGAACCGTACAGGTCTGGCATCATTACTAAGCCATCAGATTGTAAGGCGTGCGGGGAATAGATTTTGGGCGTTATTTCGGTTTAAATATTCGGAAATTAAATTAAACATCAAAATGTAATAAATATATAAAAAAAAATTTCGGTTTAAACAGTTTGGAAATATACATCATTTTTTTTTTTTGTTCCAAACTTTATACATCTAAATATATATATTAGGCCCCATTCACACTGAGCAATTTATCGCGCGGTAATCTGCGGATATTTACTGCGCGATATCGCTCTCCAATGCATGGCAATGGGGCTCTGTCCGTCGCTGTCGCGGGTTGTGCGTCGCTACAGCAGGACCCTTTTTGTAGCGGATTTTGCTGCCATTCTAGTTTGCTCAATGCAAGCGTTTGCGTGACAAACCGCGCGATACCGCGCAAAATGCAAATCGCGTGACAAACGCGCGATTTGCGAATCGCTCAGTGTTTTTGGGGGGTTTTTTGTTTGAAATTCAAAAATAAATAAATATATATATTTGGTATAAAGCCGGGGTCTCCAACTCAATTCCCTAGGGGGGGCCACTCGAGAATTTATTTCTTTTTTTCTCCCATGGGGAGAAGCCGGGTCATTACACGCCGCCCGGCTTCCTGAACGGGACTTCCGAGTACCGGGGGAAAAAAAAATATCGATACCGAAATACCCCCAATTCTGCCCCCTTCATATCTGCAGGTTCAGGCGCGATTAGGGATTCCTGTGTCAGAAACTTGCATTTTCCTGCAGCAGGAATCGGTAATCTGGCGTTTACAAGCGGCCGCTGTCACCCGTTGAAGTTATTGATCAGGTGGCAACCGCCGCATGTAAACGCCTGCACACCGCATGCAAAGATACGTGATAACACTCTCCCTGGATGCACAATCATTGCGTCCAGGGAGAGTGATTGGTTCCTAACCGAATGTAAACATATCACGCATCATTACATGCAGCGGCTGTCACCTGATCATTAGCTTGAATAGGTGACAGCGGCCGGTTTTAAACGCCAGATTCGGGATTCCTGCTGCAGGAAAACGCATGTTCCTGATGCAGAAATTCCTAATTGCATCTAAAGATACAGGTGTGAATGGAGCTCCAATACACTTCTACTCTCCCCCATACACATAAAAAATCACAGCCCCCTCTCCTGCTTACCTTGTTGCAGGGAGGAGGCTGCGAGCCACGATCATGGATCCCTGGTGATCTAGTGGTGGATTGGTAATGTCTGCTGCAGACCTCGCTAATCAATCCTTTCGGCCAGCGCTCAGCGAAGACGCCGGCCGAGAGGATCGGAGTGCCGCCACAGGAGCAGCTATGCGGTCTGCGTCCGACAGAGATGCAGACCACTCCCGCAAGTCTGCTCCGTTGCCGACCTGTGGCAGTCTCATTGTCGCAGGTCGGCTAGAACTGAGGTGAGCGAAGAGCACCCCCCTCATAGTTCTCCTTTTAAACCGAAATTATACAAAATATATATTTTTTTATTTTAAACATTTGGAAATCAAATAAAAAAAAAATATATATTTTTTTAATTCCAACTGTTTAAACCCAGAAAAATAAAATATGATAAGAAAAAATCAT